AAGCATGAATAACATGTGTGATCAAATATGTTATGTTACTATTTAGCAATAACAATGAAAAACGGAGGTAACCTTTCACTTTCATACACAATCTGCAAAACAAAAACTTGTCTGCACTGATAAAAGAAATGCTAATAAACTATAAGTAGTAAAACCTGGTTAATGTAAATACATGCAAACCGAACAAAAAATAATACCACCTTCTGTCACAAGTGTTTGTAGGCCCATTTCATGAGAAGTGCTCCATTGTGCAGTTTTTAAAAATATGATAAGTGCATCCTTTATACTAAATTAGACAGGTGCTCACTAACCTGCGTACAGCATTGGCCAATTCTTGAATAAGCTTGGTAGCTATGAAGATTTTACTAGAGCTTGTGCCAAGACAAACAATGATGTTATGTTCTTTTGCAGCATCCAGCAGCTCAACCTGCAAAATAACAAGTTTTATATGATTTTTAAGCTTTCACGCTAATTGAAAGCAATGTTTTCTTGTGCCATCAGCTGTGTGAGAGTGAAAACGAAATTAATATACTCACATGGCTGATTGCCTAAGAAAAGTTACATGTGAACAAAGTTTTAATAGAACACAACACTACATATATAAAAATTCGTGTTACAATTTACTTAAAAGTAACTCACTTGATAGTCCCGCGGTGTAAATGATTTGGTATAAACATTGTCATTAAAATGATAGGCCATTAGCAGACCACCTGAAAAAAGGAAAAATATATACATTCATAAAATACATTACAAAATACTAGGGCTTGGTTAAAAATTTCGAACAAACTTTACTCCGTTTTCCGGCTTTTCGTGCATTCATATGTTTAACTTCTACTGAATCACCTACTCTTTGTATGTATGGATATTACCATTGTTTACTAGAGGTTAACATCCAAATCTCAAATTTATGTATATAACTAAGCACAAAAAATGTTGCATACATGAAAACCTACGTTGTCTGCTTCCTACCTACCTTAATTCCATAAAAGTAACTCTATCACATACAGCTTTTAATGAAATTAAATAACACTGAACACATTTAATGGCTATGTTTTCGAGACGAACGAGTTTTTAGATATTCGAGATAATGTATGAATTCGAGATATCGCTATTCTCGGAAATGATGTTCCTACCTGCATGTACCCTGGGTGTTTAATGTTATACGAAGAGGATGTTTTTTGAGAAATATTTGTCAACATATTTCTTTCTTAGACGGGAAGTTCCCCAAGATCGTTTATTAGTAATATAACGAAACTCTTTTCAAATGATGATTTAGATATATTAGTGTCAGTATTTTTTATTACTGAAGTGAAGCCAACACAAAAGTTGGACTTCTCAATCTCTTCATGATGCATGACAAGCCTTGGATGAACGTTGGGGTCAGAAAAGTTAACCCTCGGCTTGACCTGGCCCTAATACGACTCCCGTAGGTAAATACAAAATTTCTGGGTTTGGAAATTGATAACTACCTAAACTGATACCTAGTTAATTACTGCATATTACTTAGATCTATGATGTATACTGGCAACACTGACACAATAAAACCAGTTTATTTTGCCTATTTTCACTCCATAATGTACAGAATAATGGTGGGTGGGTTTAATTAATCTAACAGCAAAATGATAATTACTTTACAAAAAAAAAAAAATTAGTGTAATGGCTGGTGGCAAACCTAGAAATTCATATAGAAGTCTATTCAAGAAAGTAGGGATTGTAGCTCTTCCATGTGAACACATATCCTCATTAATGAACTTCAATGTAAATAACCAAGAACATTTTCATACTAATTCTACTGTACACTGTATCAACAAAAGGACTAAGAACCGGCTTCATAGACCAACTGCCAACCTCTCATTCTTCCGAAGAGTTCATATCATGCATGCATCAACATTTTCAACAGTTTACCATCAAGTCTTGTGCGTCTTCTAAATAAAAAGTTACAAATTAAAGTAGCTTTAAAAAGATACTTAATCACACACTCCTTTTTTGCTGTTGATGAATTTCTAATGTTCACCAATAGAACATAACGTTCATTGTTTTGTTCTGTACATGTAATATAAGTGAATAGTATAATTTATGTACTGTATGTAATGTGTGGATGCATTTGTAACATATCACTAATTATGGGAACCCTTTGTTTATATTGTGAAATTTTATAATAGTATGAATTGTAGTTATAATATGTATTGTATTATTATGACTTATTTCTCACCCTACTCTCTTCTGATGAATGTATTCATGTACTAAAGATGTGTGTATAAGCAAATACAGCCAATACAAACAATTTTACAATTCCTATATATTGCATGATAACTGAAGAGCACATAGAAATACAAAAATCATGTTGGAAAATGAAAGTGTAAGAGAAAGAAAAATGGGAACAGATGAGCATGAAATTACTGTTATCAGAGACAGTCATGCAGGATGTTGTGCAGAAGAGAAGTGATGGTGAAGGGTGACAGCACAGGGCCTCGTTCGTACTCTGCAAAATTGGAAAATCTGAGAACTTTCAAATGTTCTGTATTTTCAAAACTTGAAGATGGCTTGTCTTCTATGTTGTTTTGTCATGTGGTCTGGTATAAGTTTACCAATGTTTGAGAGGTCCTTGCTGCCTATATCATCGGAAGACAGCCATCTGCATTCACAGCCGTGAAAACATCAAATCCTACATTTTCAAAACTTGTAACACTTCCTCATGCGTCATTTTATCACCACTCGTAGTATATGCAAAAGGGTTATTCTGAGGTCATGCAGAATATCAAAACACATAAAATTTAATCCAAATCAGTCTAGTGGTTGTTCTCGACTTGAATCTACTGGACACAGACTGATGGATGGAGACACACAACCAGCCCACAATGGGTTCTCCGTATGCACTTCGTGCAAAGAACGCATAAAAACTTATCAATCACGAACACTTTAGCTGACTCATCACTTAAATTATTAGTAATCACGTTTACCATGTTAATTAAATAGCCATTCAAAGAATGCACAATAATTATCACTAATGGTAACCACCGAAAACAAACTCGAACATAGATAGTTCCCACTTTGGACACATAACAGCATGTCAGTGGACTGTATGTCCATCCAACAAATTTCTTCATTATATTTTGTTATCACTGTTTGTATGGTATTGAAAAGTATGATTTTGACGTCGGGCAGAATGGCGCAACCTCTATATTAAATTTCATCCCATTCCATCCAGTGGTTCTGGAGTAGAATCGACAGGACATTCAGACTGATGGACAGACAGGCAAGATCAGCCATTAATTACTTAATACATAATTTGTGGGGCCAGGAAACTGGTAGGGATGATAAGACAGTTATTAAGGGAGTACATCGGTAAATGGCCACAGCACTTCAGCAATGACTGTTGTAAACCAACGTAAGATGCTTGAAAAAATATTGGAATTTCATGACTGTGAACATGAAAATTTTTCCATTATTTGTGACCTGGGTGGGCAAATTATAGCACAGAGTGATTCACAGTAATGCAGTATAATGCACAAGGGGCCTATTTAACAGAAGTGAGTGATGATGAATACCTGAAAGATGAAATATTCAGGCATTTTAGTAAATTTCACTAAAGCTGAATTCTGAGAAACGATGAAAACCATAACAGGTGATGGTAGCAGTGTGAGAGATCAGTCCTCTGGGTGTGGAACCTATAAAGAAGGCAAGTTAGTATATATTCATAACAGTACTTAGTATTAATCACATTTTATATACTCCAGCTATATGTGTACCATGTAAAAGACTTATCAAATGTTGACTGCTATTATCAAAACAAATAAGGCAACTCAGTGGGGATCTTGTTAATATTATTATGTTTTAATATGAGCTGGATGTAGTAACATACAATGCCTCTAAACAAATCGGAAATTAACTTTTGTTTGAATATGTTGTTGTTATTATTATTATTATGAGAGACAATGCGATGACAGCAATATTTTTACAAACTGTGAACTATGGAAAAATATGTACAGTGCATACCACAATATTTTCTTAATTAAAAATTACACGATATTAAGTACATATATATATATATATATTTCTGCATTAGAATGGTTTTCATTTCCATTACAGACACATTAATTACAATCAGTTAATTAACTATACTTGGTTTTTATGTTGTTTTCCTTACACTAAATATTCATACTCAGCTACACACATGCAAATTGCTTTAAGAGACAAATAAATCACAATTATAATGAATTCTTCTTGGACTACCAGCCTTGTAAATCACGATTAATTAAATATGCTGGGTTCATATGTGGCCTTCCTTACACTAAATATTAATACTCAGCTGCACACATGCAAATGATTCTGATATCTGCTCACAGCGGAGTCGAGCCTTTCTGCTCCAAGGTCTCAGAAATCGACTCTTTGAACTCATAATGGTGTTCCATCTGTCATGCAACAAGTGTGAAGAAATATTTCTGTTTTAGTAAACTGTCCACTAAATGTTTTGGCCATATAACTTGTATAATTTTAATATGTCTTAACATATGCATCCCTGATGGTTTAACCTTTACAATATACATATGCATAATTTTATATCTTAAATGCACTAACTTTATTAATTTCTTAACTTCGCACCTAAAAATGGCTATTATGGCTGAAGCATGCAATGTATATTGTGAAATTATTCCAACAATATATTTATCATAAGGTTAATGTTTGTTGTGTGATAGATGGAATACCTTTATTAGTTATTAAGCTTAGCAACAAAATGCAATCTTATAATCTCCATTAGCAACTTGCACATACTTCTCCCTAGTGATGTCCACATCGTTATCCAAGTTTCCTGAACCTGCAAACCTGTGAGATTTTGACCTGTTATTGTCTATTAACTTTTGCATTGCTTAGCCTCTTGAGATAAAATCTCTGCATATTCAAGTACAGTGCTGCATGTTTACTCTACAGATAGCCTCTCCCAACGATTTGCAACAAACTTTACCCTCTCAACTGCCAATATGATTCCTCATGCAGCATCCCCTTTTCATAGAAAGTATATAATCACATGATAGTTCAGAGCTTCCTTGTCCCATCTAACTTCCTGTACTCCTGGTAAATGTAATTTATATATTTCACTAATTATCTTATACTGACTTTAAAGAACTTCACCTATGGAGATGTATGATGTATACTTCACATTTCAAATCTAATGTCCATTTTCCAATTCTTAGGTGCTTAAATATTACAAATCTAGAAACTATGACTCAGTATGTACCAACATAAAATCAATCCTTGACATCAACACATAAATTCAGATAAGTGCTATATGAATAAAGTGGCAGTGGATATCAAGTGTGTTCTTCTAAGTTATGATGCCATGTAGTCTTGAGTGTGGCTACTAACATTTCAAAGAAATTAACATGCCCATCTTCAGGGTAAATCACTGCTAACCGCTGATCCTCAACTCAGAAGATATCACCACTGTTGTGAGAACCTCAAATTTTAAAGTGGACTGGAGATCTATTTATTCTCCATCAACAGATCATATCATATATACACTGTTATACAGTAATCCATTGCTAATGCAGATGGTTCCTGTAAAATGCTGTATTAGACAAGACTACATGTCTGTTCTGTTCTATATCACTAAATTTCAAATAATCACTCCGTGTCATAAAGCATATGTAATGTCTTTAAGTCATTGTCATATTGGCTAATATGGAAGGACAGCTATCATTTTGCAGCTGTCACCTTTATCTTACTGAAGATGACTGTTTCCTGGGATGTTGCATAGGGAAGTCTTCCATCAACAGAGAGATCAGTAAGCTGCATATGAGGAATTAATTTCAGATATGGGAACAGATGGCAGAGGAACAAGTGGCTGTAGTAGCACCCCACAGATTATCCCCCTCTTTTGGCCAGACTGTGATCTGCCCCTTTGCCCTTTGGCTCCCTTGCTCTAACCCAATCCTTACCCTCTTCCTCACTGGTCTGGCCAAGGTTCCACCTTGTCTGATCTGACCCCAATCTCAAATCAGTTCCTCATGTGCAGTTTACTCATCATTCTGGTGATGGTAGACAACAAGCACCTATGAAATGCCAAGTCATCTTTTACCAGACTACATGGCACAGCATCCCAGAAAACAGTCTTCATACTCACTGCCATAATAACCTGAAATCTCACTAACCACTCTGCTGCTGCTTCAGGAATGATTCGACTGTAAGCAAAATAATACTAAAGTTCAAATGGTGTCTTAAACATTACTAGAAAAAGGAAACTACTATGCAATGGGTTTTAAATTTCTAAGTACAGATATTTGTGTGACAGGTAACTAATTCCACAGAGCAGAATCCTTCATGAGGCACTAATACTTTCTCAGCTAGTCAAGAAATTGCCCACTTTATAGGACTCATAGGTTTATTACTATATTCGTAAGAGTCCGCCACTGGTCCCTATCACGAGTCTGATGAATCCATTCCACATCATATTATCACATTTCTTGAAGACCCCTTTAAAATTATCCTCTAATCTATCTAAGTCTCCTGTGTAGTCTTTTCCCTTCAGGTTTTTATTTTTTTAACCAAAGACAGATTAAATTAATTCTTCCCACAATTTATTTGTACCTGAGTTACTGAAAAAATAGCTTCCAACATGATGTTTGACTATGTGGCAATCTTACTCTATGCATACTACATGACAAACTCCCTGGTAGCAGAACCCACAGATTCAACACCGACAACACCAAAGCCTGCCACCGACACTGATCCTGAGCCAACTCCATCCATTTGCCATCCTCACAGCCCACCTCCCTAAGATCCATCTTGATGTTATCCTCCCATCTACTTCTTGGTCTGCCTAGTGGTCATTTTCCAGAAAGATTCCCTACCAAAATTCTGGATGCATCCCTTACCTCCCCCCATACATGCTGCATGTTCAGCCCACTGGAGCCTCCTAGATCTCACTATTCTCACAGTTACTTTTTATGACTATTTAGGAACAAATGTTTGTTTGGTTATTTTTCTAATTTATCCACATGAAACTTATAATGCCTCTGAAGTTGTATATTAGTCACAAATGTTTTTGTACATACTGAACATTTGAACTGCTGGCCCATATGGATTCTCAGATGTCTTGTAAGCTGTCCATTTGTTGAGAATGTCTTAAAGCAATATGAGCAGCCATAAGGTCGCACCACAGCATGGATACGCATATGGACGTCCAAGGAATCACGTCTAGTGTATGATCTAGCACAGTGATGGCAAGTGAACATTTTTTTAGGGGCATGGATACCCATATGTTGTGACAGATGATGACTTAATATAAAGGACTTGGCACATATTTTGCAGGTGAAAGGTCTGCTACCTGCATGTGCAACGACATGACGTGCTAGCTTTGCACTCGATGAGAACGTCTCTCGGCAGTAATCACATGAAAATTTGCTGTCTTTGTTATGTTGACGATGCTCATGCCTTCGCAAGGTGTGTTTTGTGACAAAAGAACATTTACATATATTGCAAACAAACTGTTTAGATTTCTTGTGAACCTTCATGTGGTCTGCTAGCTCAGTTTCAGATATAAATAGTTTTGTACACATTGTACAAGATAACATTTTCTGTTTCCCTCCATGAAACTGCTCATGTTTCCTAAGCAGCGTCTTCCTCCTGAATGCCTTGCTGCACAAAGTACAGGCGAATGGTTTGTCGTCCATGTGAACTGCAATATGATGATGCAGATCATTCTTGCTGAAAAATCTCTTATCACACTGTGCACATGTGAAATTTCGTTCTCGTGCATGATTCCGCTCATGAAGGTTGAGTAATTGTTCGAGTGGAAAGGAACGATCACACTTATTGCAATGGAACACACTACCTGTACCACTCACTGAAACATTATTTTTGTCTGAAGATTCAGGGTTTCCAACTCGTGCAGGATCCACATTAATCACAAATGACTCAGCATTATCATTTTCAAAATTTTTGTATGATGGATCAGTTTTTTTAACATACATTTTAATTGAAGATTCCTTTGGAAAGTGTAATTGAGATTTAAAATTGTATTTAGTGTATGGTGGCTTCCCATGTGGTTTATTATGGCATAAATTAAAACTATTGGACTGCACTGCCCTCGTATTACTACATATACTTGAGAGATCAATACAGTTCTCCTGGTAATTTAAAATTGTATTATAATTTATTTTTTGAAAATCTGAAGATACAGAATCCAATTTTTCAAATGTTGTGCTGCAATTAGTATCTGATATATCACTAATTCTTTTAGTTTCTAAATGAAGATGTTGATTTGGTGGTTGTAATTTTACCATATTTGCATTACCTGATGAACTGTTATCTTTGTGTATTGCCTTAAAATGATTAATGTGTCTTATATTTGGTTCTGTGATCAAATATTCTGTTTGTACCTTATTCTCATTATGATACACATTTATGTCATGTGCTAATAACATATCACTCTCGTTATCCAAGCCATTGGGTTCAGATTTAACTGTTGTTTCATTAAACTTCACAGACACACAATTTTTTAAGTCAACATTTGAGGTACTAGAATCCAAATATGATGCTTCTGATTTCACCACACAATTCATGTTCCTGTCAGTGAAATATGTTTCTATGCTGTGAATGGAAATTTAGAGTTTAATTTTAATGTCTTCTCTTCATAATTAAAGTATAATGCAAAAAGTCAGTTGTTTTAACTTGAAAGATTTATGCTGTACCCATATACATTTCTTGAATCCTTCTGGTGCACACCATAAATGTGACTCTGAAAAATGAAATGGAATGAAAGGGAAAAAATCCTTCTATCACAACCAACTATTGTTGCTGAAAAATTACTTTCAATATATAAAGCTGAAAGTAAGATTGTCACACATAAGAAACATTTCTTTACCTGTCTGGAAAACTCTCTGACATTTGGATCTTTTATAGGCATTCTGTGTAATTCCTGTGGTACTAACAAATAGCAATGGCCAAATTTTACCAGTGCTTCTGTTGCCTGAAACAATAAAAATTACTTCACAAATTTATCTAGCCAGCCATTATAAGAGTTATGGCTTATTTATCAATACTGTCTGTAGCTCAGATAATAAATGTTCACTGATAGAAAGAATGAATTAGAAAGAATATGAAACAAAACAATCATGGCCTAATTTAAGATACCAGAATTTACCTGGAAGAATTAATAAAAACCACAAGAAACCTCAGTTAGCATCACCAGTCTGGGCTAAGATATGAACCTGGGACATAAGCAATAAAAAGTAGGGGTGCTAATCTCTCAACCATTACATTCAGTGACAATATTTCAAAAAAAGAGACAGCCACGTTCATACTTGCGATTGTGAGAACCTGAAATCTCACATAATATTTAGAATTTTCAGTATTTATATAGCCTACACACATGCACCACATGAAGACTTAGCAGCAAATGTACATGCAGAGAGAAAAATACACTACAATATATTACAATACCTCACTTATGATTTGGTTGTGCTAATGAAGTATTGTCTTATGGTTATCTTCTCAATACCTGCACTTTGTTGTGTATACTGTTAAATAAAGACACTTGGAGTTACTCTACTGAGAACAAGAGAGTGCATAAAAGCTAGATGTAGTCGCATATGTGGCCAGGAGCCTGGCCAGTGTTGGCTTGTGTAAGTAAAATTATTTGACTTCACTTTTTAATCAAGTATGACTTACTTGTTGACTGCATATAAAATGACTATTGAACTGATGTTATAAAGAGCTAAACCACTTCTAATAATTACCATTTCGCCATGATCTAGTAATAATGATGAAACGAAGAAAACGAGTATTTTATCTTTACAGAGAATGTACATAAAAATTGAAAAGATATTTTATGAGTCATAAATTGCACTGCCTACCATTCTATTTCGGCCGATTACAAACGTGACTCTGTCAGTCTTCACTGATAATGATAATTTCTGTATCAAGAAGGCACAGTTTTGAGCAAAATAATTCCAGTTTCAACTTTATTGTAATAGCAACATGGTATTAATTATTTAATTACTGTGGTACGCAGTTGTTAAAGTAAAACTGGTTCTGAACAAATTTCATTACCGAGAAATCCTTACACAAATATTTTAATCAAAATTTTGACATTCGGTTCGATATCACCATTCAAACGAAGCAAAGCAATTTCATTCTACACTCAGAGGCACAGATTGTTACATTTCTACGTGGAAAAATTATCGGCATCCAATATTGGCAACATTGAATTGCATGACCTACCCAGATCCTGATATTCATATTGAACCAAAGTGTCAATCTGTGGCTTTCCCAAAATGAACAATCAATAATTCCATATCTAATTCGCGATTGCGCAAACCCTAGGTGGTTGTCCCGTGGTATGATAAAGCAGATGTTCCCAACACCGATATATGGAAAAGAGAAATAGAAGAGCACTTTGTTGGGGTTCCATAATCGTTACAAATAAGAAACTGTATATGCAGCTATACAGCTACTATGTTTCAAATTTATTTCGTTGTCTTGCATAGGGAATATGTAATAGTAATCCTCATTCAAACCAAGCAAAGTGGCCAAAATGTGGAATTGAGGTTATGGACGTCTAATGAATCAGTTCAGTTTTTGTCTCTTAATCGATCGGTCCATTTATATGCAGAAATTTATTTTAAACATCATTCGCGACAGGAATCATTAGTTACATAATTGTATCGTTTCGTACGGTAATTTCCTTCCTTTTAGTCTGACCAATAATCTGTTCAGGTCCCCTGTGGGAAGCAGTGTTTTAGATTTTAGATATATTTAACGAAATTACAAAGGCGTTCTCAATGAAAACATATGACTACCACATTCATATGTTAATCTATTGACCTAACTTTATTACTAAATTCAGAATAAGCTTATCTTCGTTTGAAGAAGTCCCTTTGCTTGTTCTTACAGAAACAATGTTTGTTTCCGAATGACAAAAGCAACTTTGATGGTTTCATACCTTCGTCATTTGACACCCCCACACAACCACACTGTGTGTCTGGCGTGTGTCTGCCTGTTTTACACATGAATAAATAACTGAAGTATTGTCTGGTGAAAGCTAATTTTAGCTTTCTCAATTTTATCGAGGTTCTCGTGCAGATGAAGTTTGCTGTCTTCTTTTGGCCTGTCCTAGTCTTGTAAGCTGTTACTAACATTTACAAGGACTGTAACGCCTTCATCTTCAGAGCAGAATATGGGAGTGATACGTTGTTCTATAACGTTGTTAACTACTAACAAGATTATAAGACGTAATAACACAGAAAACTAGAATACATTTTTTTTTAGTCTGTTGGTCTGTTGTCTTCTTTAGTTTTTATACTCTGTTTATCACGAGGATTATTCATTCTTTTTAACTGTTTTCTGTCATTAATAATCTAAATAATGTAATTTTCTTCCTTACAGCTAAGTGAGTTATCTAATCTTTTCGGGAAAAAGTCACGTCGAATGTTGAGAAATATCCAATGTGGTTCATCCCCGAAAGCCGAAGGCTATGAAAGCGCTTATTTATTTTGACGAAAGCACATGAGTTGGAAGTTTTGGAAACAAGAGTTTTTGGAAAACATATGAAACAGAAATATAACGTAATGTAGCAGTTTTGGGTATAAGACAATAATGAGCCCGGTGATTCATCCATCGCCAATGCCAGCAAAGGCCTACATCACAAAGTTCCAAACTTTCGAATAAAAAAACAAGCTCTGTGTCAGTTTTGTTACCAAACGAGTGTCTGTGCAGTTGCCCATTTACCCTAATCGTAAGGCAGAATAGATCCATCTTATCTATAAATCGAGCTTCTGACTATTACAACCTATGGTTTAGACTTTTATCTCGATGAATAAACCTTGTAATGCCAGAAGATTTCTGTCTTCTGGATTGTTGCGATGTGTAGTATGGTCGATGTTTACCAACGTTTCGGAGGTCATACTGCCTCCATCATCAGGGCGATGAGTATGAAGATTTCTGTCTTCTGGGTTGTTGCGCTGTGTAGTCTGGTCGATGTCAACCAACGTTTCAGAGGTCATACTGCCTCCGTCATCAGGGCGATGAATCGCCCTGATGACGGAGACCACACAGCGCAACAACCCAGAAGACAGAAATCTTCATACTCACCGCTGCGAAAAACTCAAATCCTACTTGTAATGCCACTTACTGCTGAAAGTTTACATCCATAACATTCGTTTGTGAACTGGCTGTAGCCGCCACTGGTTTCTCTTTCTCTGCAATACCGTGTATTAGGAGCTGCAGGGAAGGTTGTCCACGCAGTGTGTACCGCTTTCCCGCTATGAACACATATCTTCTCAAGTTGCTGGTTCTCTGCGTGGCCATTGGTAAGTAGCACAAGTTCTGTTTATTTGACGTCAATCTGACAGTGAGTGAAACCATAACCAATTAGTGCGCTGACAGGGGTTTTGTTACTGTTGTAGTGGAATTTGGTACGGAAAATAAATACGTAAAAACTTTACAGTTACTTAAAGAAATCTATAAGCTCAGCCATATTGTAAACCTGAAAGAGTTTAGCAGCAGTTTCGTTTATGGTTACAGGCGTAAGGCTTAAAACTGAAAGGAAATGAGTGTTTGAAGTATTTAGTTTCGGAATTTATCGAAATAATATTAATTTATATTACACACATAAGAGGACAAATTGAATAATATAATAATTACTAGGTTTACAGAACTTGATAATGTGTTTTAATCAAGATACGAACTTCCAAATAATATAAATTAGGCCTATTTCAATTTATATATTTATTTTTGCTAAAATTCCAATTTATACGAATCTACTATAATCAAGTTCTCTTTAAATTAATAAGGCCTCATCACTGCTATTAATTTAACTATTTCAGGGAACTGGAACATGTTATTTTTACATATTACGGAGAAATGAATATCATACTGGAAATCATAATATTTAAGATCTTATATAACGGTATTATGCCTAATTTTATTGTCAACTTTCAATTACGATACATATAGAGATAATTGCAAGTAGACTGAAAATGTAATTTAAAATTGTTGCTAAATATTTCGCTCCTAGATAATGCTAGAAATTGTGATATTTCTTCTAACATTATTCACAGACTTTGATTTGAAGACATCATTTTTCTGACTCGTACATTGTAATTTGGAGATATCAGTGTTACAGCTGTGATTGTAGTGAAATTATCTATGGAATACCAGGTAATGGCTGTCCTTAAAATATGGTAACACGAAAATATTTGGGAACGAATGTAAAAAGTCAAAATTTCATTAATAAAGGAGTAATTTGAAGATAAAGTCTGGAGAATGCATGATACCATTCAGTCCAGAACATTTTCTATTTTGATCTCATATAAAAATGCTAAGATTAAACACAAACACCATAATTTTACTCCCTGTTTTGTACGGGTGTGACATTTGGCCTCGTTCTTTAAGGAAGAGATCACTTGGAAACTGCGTACGTATAACTGAGAAGTGACAGGGCGCTGGAGGAGATGTTAGCCTGATAACGAAGAGATAGGCTAAATGTTATTAGGAATAGGATGAGGTCGGCAGTGCATGTAGCACGCACAGAGAAATGGCCAAAACATTTCAGTCAAAATACTTGGCTATTAGCATGTTCTGATTACGATGTTATTTTAGTATTCGTCCCTCTCGAGTCTATCAGCTGATAGTCGTCACCACTGCATGCTAATAACCAGCCTTTGATGGAGATCCATCACAACAATACATTCAAATAATATCCATAATCCTTAATGTTACTAAAGTGAAAGAGATATTCAACTACACAACTATCAGTGTATCTAGACAAAAACACGAGTTAAATATAAAAGATTGGGACCTCAGTAAAATGGCAGATGATAGCTAAACAAATTATTGAAGCTATAGTACCCAAACTTACTCTTAAAGTGTAATATATGAAACATTCTATATCTGCTGAAAAGAATATATATTTCACAATACAGTGATAAAGAGTGTGTTCAGTTATACATTTATAAAAATATAATAAATATAAGAACCATAATGACAATAATACGATTACCGACTTCATTAACTTGTTACACCCAGTCGGTGCACATTTGGTTATGAAATGTTTCGTATTCATTACGCTATTTATTATATTTACGTTTTTTAAATTTTATGTTTTATTATATTAGAACACAAGTTTCTTTAACTACAATTTGTGCTTCTCTGAGGATATAACATATCGAAAATTCTGACGAAAATGTTAAAAAAATCATCATATCTCCGAAACTTCGTGAACTTGGTAATGAATAAAGATTTCTGTTTTCTGGGTTGTTGCGCCGTGTAATATGGTAAAAGTAAGATAGTGCCTAATGCAATTCATACTTTTTTATACTTAACACATTTTTAACCGGGTTATCCCAGCTGTAGTTTGTCCAAGTTTAATAAAATTACGGAAAAATAACTTCATCTATTTACTTCTGACTGAAGGTCTTCAGAATAAAAAATTATTTTTAGAACTGTTCAATATATGGGTATTAAAAATCAGTAGATGACTTTAACAGAAAATCCGTAATGTGTAAATTTGGTTGAAACCTACACTAATCTAAATGCCTCCATTTAAATAAATTTCGCATTTATTGCTTTGCTAATCGCCATGCTTAGACAGTTCGACTGCAAACTTCATGTCTGATACTAAACTCAAACCCTTATACTTCTGTGTAAAGTTAAATTCACTGCCATTAGGAATGTGAGGTCACTCCCAGACCTTGCTTTTCCAGTTTTCAGTTCTTCGTCCTTCAAGCAAACAACGGTGCAGAACGAGAATACAGTTGCCTAGTCAACTTTATCATTCGCAGTTAGATCACATCTCAGATAGCAAAGCTGAACAGTACAAAATGTTTCTATGCGCGTTCTTTGCACCATAGATAATTTACCTTTCTAAATGTGGAAGTGCCTTTAAGCGTCTGTGTATGTGTGTAATGTATCGATGGATGGGTTTATGAATGTGTGGACGTTAAGCCAGTAGAGACCTTTTAATTTTCTATAGTGTGGAACAGTGCCACGGTGGTCTAGCGGTTAGAACGCTGGCCTTGTAATCCTGGGGTCTCGGGTTCGATTCCCGGCGGTGCCCGAATTTATAACTTGTGTTGGGCAAGGCCGTGGTCTAGGCAACACGGAGGTTTCCTCCGGGGGCTTCCCCGGTTTCTCCGTGGCATCCCAACAATTACTCCATTCACACACAGAAGAAGGCAATGGCAAACCACTTCTGGATCATCTGCCAAGAACGTATATGAACAGGTCCCAGTCCGAGAAAAGAATGGAAGGATCCTGTTCATATGGACCTGTCGTCAGACAGAACACTAAGTAAGTAGTGTGGAACAACAATATGGCGTACGCATAAATTTGTAAATGTAGTGTCGTGAAATGATGCACTGATCTTCGAATATTACGTAAATCTCTTTAAGGTAATATTTTAAGGAAATATGATAGTGGCAACAAAAGGCCGTTTTATTAGCCGAACGTGAGAGTGCAGTTTTAAAACGGCCAAGACCAAGAAGGTCCCAACTTCTGTTGCGTTGCGTTATTAATTTGTTAGGTGGTGCTAATGAGGTTCTGCACTCGATGGAGATTTACGTTCTGCGTCTTCCGGTACTTCGGTTATTAGGTTTATTAGGGTTCAATAAGAAGGTAGTAGACAGCATTAGACAGTCGGACGTGCTGCTGTATCAATTTAGGTTGTAGGATTTGAGGTTTTCACAGCGCAACAACCCAGAAGACAGAAATCTTCATACTCATCGCCCTGATGACGGAGGCAGTATGACCTCTGAAACGTTGGTAAATATCGACCAGACTACACAGCGCAACAACACAGAAGACAGAAATCGTCATACTCATCGCCCTGATGACGGAGGCAGTATGACCTCTGAAACGTTGGTAAATATCGACCAGACTACACAGCGCAACAACACAGAAGACAGAAATCGTCATACTCATCGCCCTGATGACGGAGGCAGTATGACCTCTGAAACGTTGGTAAATATCGACCAGACTACACAGCGCAACAACACAGAAGACAGAAATCGTCATACTCATCGCCCTGATGACGGAGGCAGTATGACCTCTGAAACGTTGGTAAATATCGACCAGACTACACAGCGCAACAACACAGAAGACAGAAATCGTCATACTCATCGCCCTGATGACGGAGGCAGTATGACCTCTGAAACGTTGGTGGAAATCTACCACACTACACCGTGTAATAACCCATAAGACAGCCATATTCAGTTTAGGTTGATTCATTGAAGCGAATGTCCGCTGTGATAGATTTCAATATGCAGCACAAACACTGTTGAGCTCTGTTACAAGTTCATAAGAATATGTGTTTCCGACGTGTCTGAGGAATAAAAATAATTTATAACCGGACTACAAATTTGGTTGGCGTCAGTTTTCTTGCGGTAGGTCTACATATTTGCTATAATATTAAATTAGAATCAAATTGAACTAATTATACATTTTGGATAATACGTAGCGTAAAGGAGATGTACACTACAGACGAGTATTTTCTCAAAATTCCTCCATCAGAGTTCTTAAAAACTGAGTCTAGTAGCTCGTCTCAAAATGCTATAAATTTGTTCCGTCTTACCCAGAAACATGTCTGTCATTTCATCTTCTTACCTTTTTTCCGGAATATCGGCCTAATTAAAATGTAGTTTGTTAAGTCTCGTTGAAAAAAAATCGTGTATGTTTACAAAGAGTAAAAATGTACGCGATTTTTGTGTAACACACCAGCCGGTGATGCGTCGAAGACATTCTGACTGAAGACAAGACATACATTTTTCAATTTTGTATCCCCACCCCGCTATAACGCGAGGTGTGGCGCTATAGCGGGGTAGCCTCCATGTAATGTGTGTTGCAGGGGTTGTCTTTTGCCAGGCGCCCGGCCGTAAACAGCAGGCAGCGCGACGACCTACGTCCACCACGAAGCGCCCCACGACAGAGGTGGAGGACACGACTGACGAGTGCCCGGAGCCCAATGGCTACTTCGCCGATGCTTATCAATGCGACAAGTATTATGAGTGTATTGATGGAACCATAACAGAGAAACTCTGTCCGGACGGAATGGTCTTCAACGACTACAGCCCCATGCAAGAGAAGTGTGATCTGCCCTTCAACATCGACTGCTCACAACGTCCCGACTATCGTAAGTTCTAACGCACTTTTGGCACTCACTGTACGAATTACTAGTGCAACACTGTTATGTTTTAAGTGGATTTCGTTAGGTTAGCTAATGTTTTGAAAATCGTTGTGATGTTTTGTCACTTATGGCCACAAATCGTCACGGCCTTACAGTGGGTCACGCATAGTCACGCTTTGTCACGTTTGGTCACGCTTTGTAAATATTCGTCACGTTTCGACATTTCTGGCCACATCTCGTAGCGTCATTACAGTACATAACGCCTAGTCACGCTTTGTCACGCTTGGTCACGATTATACACATTTTTCAAATCTTCGTCTTATTTTAACACTTATGGTGACCTCTCGTCACGCCTCAATAGTAGGTCACGCTAAGTCACGCATTATCCAGCTTGGCTAAGTTTGGTCACGCTTTGTAAATATTCATCAATTTTCGACACGTTTGGTGATCCCTTGTCACGAGGTCAATTCAGGTCACTCGTGTTCTCACTTTGTCACGTTTGGGCACCCGCGTTAAATAAGTCAGTCTTCGTCACGCTTACGTTATGTTACGTAAGGCCCGGTTAATTTTGGCTACTTTGCAATAAGTTGGATGAAGTTAGGACAGAGTAGTTTAGGCTAGTGTTTGGTTAGGTTAGGTTGGGTTTAATTTATGTTAAGTTTGTTTAGTGGATTTTTTTAGGTTAGCTAATGTATTAAATATGTTTGTAACGTTTCGGCACTTATGGTCACATCTTGTCACGCCGTTACAGTACGTCACGTGTGGTCACGCTTTGTCACGCTTTTAAAATCTCGGTGATGTTTTAACACTTAAGGTGTCCTCTCGTCACGCTTTCAAAGGAGGTGACTCCTAGTCACGCTTTCAAAGGAGGTGACTCCTAGTCACGCTTTCAAAGGAGGTGACTCCTAGTCACGCTTTCAAAGGAGGTGACTCCTAGTCACGCTTTGTCACTAATATATATGTTATATATAATTGAAAATCCTTTAGTGGACAACAGCAGCGGTCGTAATGAATCAAGTGATGAATCAGAAAGCGATGGCCTGTATTTAGTGGAAGAATTGGAAGAGGACTCGGAGAGTTGTGAAGAAGATAAAATTATCTAATACTCTCAGCAGTGTAAATTTTCTAGTGATGTGTAATGTAGTGAAATCGACTTTCCTGTGTTACATACCGTTTAGATATTTTATTTGGAGTGTTGTGTAGGCGGCCTGCTGCCATCCCTTCCAGCAAACTTCTGGTAAGTGACTCTCTCCGAGATTCCAATTCACAAAGTTCAGCGGCCAAATTCGCTGGAACGCAGAATAACATTATATGAATTCTGTTGTAGACACAAGCGCTAAATTTTATGAAAACAACGAGAACTTTAACAGGGTCATAGAGACCACAACGGATGCATTTGCAGGTTAAACCATCGAAATATCTGGAGTACCACAAGGACATAACACATTTTGAACTATCTGACTGAAATGATAATATTTAACCTAAACGCTCAATTGAACATAACCAAATATAAATCAATAAAATTACATTTTTACGAACTGATTTTTAAAAACGCCCTCTATAAATTCTACTTGCCATTATATCATTTAATGACGTCGTTTCGATTACATAGGTTTTACAGCGTACAATAAAATGAATCTTCAGTAGGTACGGATTTGTTAAGACTCTATCGTGGCCAACGGGAAGGTAAGTTATTTATAAATTTCTTTGGAAATACTGAGAAAATCACGTGTAGCAAGTAACTCGGTTGAGATTCTAACGTAGAGCTCCAGCAGTTTACCTGTCTGCTAAAACGTCCTCCCCAATCCCATTGTCTCCCTAGCCGATGCTAAAACCTCATTACGTCCGCAGAGGTGCCTCAGCCCAGTCTGCATTGCCCGCGGAAGAACGGCTACTTCGCTCACGAAGACAACCACATCTGCGACAAGTTCTACTACTGCGTCGACGGCAAGTTCAACATGATTTCCTGTCCGGACGGACTCGTCTACAACGAGAAAACTGGTATCTGCACGTGGCCTGACGAGGCCAAGAAGAAGGGATGTTCGTCAGAAGGTAGGTGACAGTGCTTGGCACTCCACGTTCTCGTCTCCCCATTCTCAGAATTAAAAATTAACAATAATAATACCGAGATGACAACCCTGTGGGATATCGCGCTGTGTGGACTCACGACGTTTCAGTGGTGCTTACTGCCGTGCCTCCGAAACGCCGGTCAAGTACGAAGTTGCAACGACACGATATCCCATACTACTCCGGGCTGTAAAAACTTGAAATTAAAATATTAATTCTGTAAATGTATATGATGAATGCACACGGTTTACTATCGAATCTACATTTCTGAAGGCGTAATATCAAAAACATAAATTATTCTTAAACATTCCCTTAACCAAAATAATTCAACGAATTTATAGGCTATGATATCTCTGTATTTATTTTGATACAACAGAATAAATTATTTTAATTATTCTATAAACAATTTGCCAAAATACTGTTGGAATAATCTTCTGAATTTGATCTATTGTGAACGTAGTAATGCGAGGAATTTTCTTTATCATCTAAGCGACTATAAAATTCTCAATATTAACTCTTGCTTTCTGTTACTCCGTAGCTGCCTTGCATTTCTTGGATTTCTTCAACGAATAAAATGTCTGAGTTTGTTATTAATATAATTATTTTTACTATTAACGAGGTGAAATTCTCTTTAAAACGGTGTAATTAAGGCTCGTAGGATACGTAAATTTAAGGCTTCAAGTATTATTATTTAGACAGTAAATGTCTGTGTATGATAAGCTTCACGTTTCGACAGCAATTATTACGTTGAAAAAGCCCCTTAGTAGCCTACACATAATCAACCATATTTCCAACTGTTACAGGAGATTAACACAAAAAAGTGTATGAAATCTACGATTAGAACTGAATCGTGAATTTAATTTATCTTTAAGTATTTGCTGTGAGATATTCAAATATTATTTACTATGGAGAACATTTCAACTTACGGATTAGAAATTTGGTTCCCGGATAACGAAAATGAAAGCAGGCTGTAATAACCTTGACTTACAACGTTGACGTCGTACTCGGATATATCTGGACCTAAAAAATTAGCATCTTATCATGAGAACAACGAAAGGTACAGTTTACAGAAAATGGTAAGATATTGTACGTGCGTCATATTGTGATTTTATTTAAAACTAGTATTAAAATATATTAAAATTGTCCGTCAATCACAATAAAGTAATATAAGATAATTAAATGGTTAAAATATTATCTTTTGTTCCATATCGAGTACTCGATTTACATATGGAACATTCTCGACATGTTTCGGCTTTCATAGAGCCGTCATCAGGTGTATGTTATAAACTCTTAATTCAATTACTAATTTTTAATAATTAATGAGTCAATAAGTAATATATTTTAATACTATTTTTACAGAAAATGGTTAATATGGTATAGAAATCTTACTGAGCTGTGTAAAACAATGTGAATAAAAATACAAAGACGCGGAAGGAGAAGAAGAAATAACCCTGGAAATATAAAAAGAACAAGGACACAAGGACAGAAAAGAAATATAAATGCATTAAATTTGTTTCGTGGTTTCTGAAGTAGCAAGAAATCAGTTACACTATATTTGACAGTCCTCCTTATAAGTGATGGAGATAAGGTAAGCTTTAAAACCACGTGAAGTTCAGGGATACTGAATGTTACGGACCTTGTTAACAGCCCGCAACACAATGGGAGAAACGTAGAAAACGAACTTAATTGTACGCAGTTCACGTCGCAGATAAGTGGTGCATGAACACTGGAAAGTCTTTCGACAGACCACTCTCTTGGAATGCCCTCAATATCACTGCGCGATACGTGTATGACGCACGAGGAATCCAGTCAAACATTCAGGCCTGTTCAGAATTTGGCCTGTCAAATTACCAGCTCAAGGTCAAACGTTGGCTTTTAAATTTCGCGTGTCTTGGTCACATAGCCCTACTGTACTCTAGAATTAACCTGTCTACTTACCAACTACACACCAGGATGCTCTATCAGAGGTTAAGATGACTGGAGACTGAAACTTACTGTTCACCTGATGTTTTATACTGAGCAGTATTATGAACTGTTTCGTTACAAAAGTATTCTTTATTTACATTTGTTTTTGGTTTATTTGAATACATTTACTTAACAAAAAATAAATTTTGTGTCTGTCTGTGTTCGCTTTCCCGCCTTTTCTAAGACTGAATGAAATATATGTGTTGCACCCAAGCCTTGTACTTTTTAAAATCACTAAGAAAAATATTAAAAATGGCGGAATTACGAATTAGTGAGATGGAAAGAATACTAGAGACATTTAATACAGCGTCCTGAAGTTTTGTATCATAACAGATCTTAAAATTTGTTAATACAGTTGTTTTGTGGAGTGCTAAAGACCCCATAAAATCTGTGTTTAGCTTTCTCTACGATGACGATAGGTAATGAATCATTGAATATAGTCATGAGAACTTTGTTGTAGGGATATATTACCTATTATAATTTATGAATAAGGTGTAGCTTATAAGGCAGAATTTTCAAACAATGGCGAAAGTTCGAACCTCATTTATAAAGTAACGTAATTAGAATCGACACTTAATAATATAAGCATTTATTAAAACGTAAAACAATAATAGTTAAATGTAACATATTTACATGTAAATATATATTATTTAAATCTTCTCCGTCTAATCACAATAAATTCTTATTAAATATTAAAATATTACAATAATTAACATTTAAAATATTAGAACATCATTAATATTTTAAATGTTAATTATTGTAATATTTTAATATTTAATAAGAATTTATTGTGATTAGACGGACAAGATTTAAATAATATATATTTATTATATCACAATATGACGCAACTTTACCATCTCATATTTACATATAGTTAACTTTAGAAACAGAAGGATTCAATACTAGAAACAGCTACTCAAAGCATTAAAAGTTAAATTTTTTTGATTGATCTACAACACGAAAACTATTCTATAAAGTAGGAAAAAAGTGTAAATATTCTGCTCAAACTGTTGGTTTCAGACGTGTTCAAGTTCACGTGTCCGAAGACGACGATGTCAGAGGCACAGCAGCACCCGCGCTACGCTGACCCGGAGGACTGCCAGTTCTTCTACGTTTGTATCAACGGCGAAGTGCCTCGCCGTAATGGCTGCAAGATGGGACAAGTGTTTAACGATGCCACCAAAACGTGCGATTGGCCTAGGAATGTCCCCGAATGGTGAGTCAAATTGAAATCCTGTAAAATGTTGGTCTTGTGAGCTTGTAAGGTAGAGGCGCTTGGGGGAAGAGAGGTCTCCTACTCATTCTTCACCTCGGCACTAGATGGGGGTGAGAGGTCAGCATTACGCCTCGCGAAGATTTAAGACGGAATAAATTATATGCACGAGAATCCTTGCATACACATGCCAGCTTCCTTCTCGGATATAAACTTAAGGACCAAAAACTCTGTGTAAGAATTTAGGAATGAAATTTATTTGGTTTGTTATCAGTTTAGGCCAGGGGTTCTGAAATCCCTGCCCGCAGGTCGTGTGGGGGCCCTAATTACCTTTATTGGATACGTAATTCTACATTAAACCTCGTTTAAATTGCAGAGGGTTAATTTTTATAGACGTTTTCTTGTCATCAGTAGTGACAACTATTAAAATTGTAAATATTTAATATTATTTTAATTAAACAGTTTAAAGTAAATCTCTCTTTACTTCGTTTAATGATGCAAGTCAGATAATGATTTATTAACGGCGCGTTATACGAGCTTAGTTTAAACTTCGAATACGATATTAAAAAATACAATAAAATCTGGAAGAAAACTTCATTTGAAATCTGATAAACATCTGACTAAAAGTTGCATTTAAGAAATTATATTTAAGTTTACATAATTTTATACACCTGAAGATGGTTCATTTAGAACTGAAACATGTCGTGTAAAAAGTGATGTTCTAATGTAAATCGAACATTTCGATAGAGAACATCATTTTAATATATTTTAAATATTTAAATGTTAATTATAGTAATATTTTAATATTTAATAGGAATTTTATTGTGATCAGACTGACAAGATTTAAACAAATATTTATTATTTTTATTTATATTCCAGTGCCGAATGGTATAAGGGTATCCTCACAGATCAGCAGTTGGCAGATCTGGAGAATCCAAAACCCAAGAATAGAACACGAGGAGAAGATTACAAGACGAGAAATGGTGCAAGACTGCGTCCCATTGAGGTGGAATAATTACGCAGTGTACGATTCTAAGTACAGTAATTGTGAGAATGTGTCTTTATGGAATATCTGAATATCTACGCATTACAAATTGTGATATAAAGAGCGTACAATTTAATTTACGTAAGTTCCATTCCCCTGTAATAAATACACTGGCCCCTCTCCCCACTGACACTGGGGTCAAGGTCAACCTTGTTGCTAGGCCGCTGCCATTGTACTTAGAGTTGCGTTTTAAATTGTACGCTCTGCATTCAAGGGGTAGAAATCTCAGAGACACGATCTTCACACTGCTGAATAAAGTGGGTTCTGATTGCATTAATCTGAACTAATCACAATAAATACAACGTATTTATAACATTCGGAATATCTTTGTACATTCCTAATGTAGTATAACATTAATTGTTAATTTCAACCTTATCACGTTTTTTGAGTAAAGTTTTTGGTTTATGATATACCATATCTGATGAGATGTTGCAAAACTTATTTTACCTAAAATTTCAAACTGGATTTTTAAAGAGGTGTTTGGACAGCTCACTTTGAGGTTTGAACAAGCAATGGGCTGGAAGACCACAGTTCGATTCCTGACAAGGGAAAAAAATCAGTACCGTCCTCAGAAGTTCTCGTGTCTTCCTAAACTCCTACCAGAAGGGTATAGGGTGCTATTTTCCTTAATATAAAAAGCTCATCCATAGAAAGAGAAATGAAAGGTTTTTGTACTTAACTAGCAAAGAAATATAAAAATGTTAAATCAACATAAGTTGGGAGGAGGATGTTTATTGTTAGTTTGAGAATGTTTCTTTATAATCAACAAAATTTCTTGTTCTTTATTATTTATTTATAACAAATACTTTTCAGCCAATGAGCCATCACCAGCGTCAGTTATATAATTCATCAAATCGATGTAATTAAATATAATTCGTACTGTGCGAAAATAAAATCAGAGACAAGATTTTCTGTTGTCTGTGTTAGAGACCTTAGAAAGTTGCTGTTGAGTACACTAAACACGATTTTGACCACATGTACCACAAACACGTATTCCTGTAATTATGTAATCTACACTGGTTATGATCCACGGGCTGACACGTGTTTGTAATAAATATAAACATTGAGAATTTTCGTTGGTTATACACAAATATATTTACTATAAACCCGCGTGGAATTAAAGATACAAACTCGTTCGTAAAATTTACCAGATCACAATAATATCTTATTAGAAGCGATAGTTATGTCTAGAATTTCAGCTGTACAGACAATATCAACTTAAATAAATATGACAGTTGTCAGACAAGTACATCAAATGTGAAATTAATAAAATTTGTTTATTTGCACATATAATTAAAAATGGTACAGTGAATGTGGTAATATTTTGGGGCAGGAATTATTAACTACTGCAATTAATTAGGTGATAGAAAGCAGTTGAATGCTGAAACGTTAGAAAAACTGTTTAGTTAATAAGCAAAAGATAAATTTAAGCAGACTAACACAATAATAATTGCTAATGGATTTGACGAATTCACACGCACATTTTCAGCAAACCCCTGACTCCGGCTGATTTTTCATTTAAGCCTTCCAAAATCTCTTCATTAATCAGTATCTTACGAATGAAGTACACTTCATTAATAATAAAAAAAATAATATTTCATTGAATCAATAAAATTGTTTGCGAATGACTGAGCTATGAGGTAACACATTTTTGGCATTTTTAATGGGATGAAATTTTAAACATAACAGAAAGTGTTAAAATATTGACATCATGTTTTTTGTTACTGAAACAACATCCTTATATATTTTAAGGATCAGAGTCAGACGTTTCTCCTAGGATGTCCGGGTGTGTGCTGTAAGAACAATGGTCGACTAATTCCAGATGTTG